GCGTTAAAGTTTAGGGTTAACTTAAAACTTTAAAATCTTAGAGGTTAAAATAAAATCTTTCAAAAAGATTGAATGATTCAATTTACTTTTTTTTTTTCAAAAACCAATGGGTCTGACTAAAATTTTGAAATTTTAAATTCCTAAAAAAAATTTATTGCCAAATTAATTTTTTAAACAATTTTAAGGGTGAAAATTATAATTTTTCAAACTTCGGAGGGCCATGGCCCCATTAGTCTTCATAGTGTTCCGCCTAAATAAAATTTGAAATAATCTTGGAATATAGTATTTAATCTTCCTACACTTAATTTAATTTGATTTATTTTTTATTTTTATAATTCCGTTGTAAATTTCAGTTAATTATATTGACTTAATAAATTTGTATGTTAATCAAATACTTAAATTATTTTTCAAAAAGTAATTTTATTATTTAAAGAAAATAGTTAATATTATTATCAATTTAATTCTATTAGTAATATTAGAAAAATGACAATTAAATTGTTATAGATATATTAATTTTCAAATTTCAATACAATAAAAAGGACTAAAATATAAGTTAGACAGTGGTTTAAATTACCTTTGGTTTGGTGAGCTGTAAGCCGTTCTTTGGAATTTTATAATGAGTTTGGTGGCAGGTGGCATAGCACGAAAGATTGGACCGGAAAAGAGGATATTCATATGCCTAAAAAACAGACCAATTTTATTTTCCTAGTATAAAGGGCAGATGTCAGTTGTGTATGCCACGTGGCATCCAATCAGGAGACTTCTTACCACTAAGACTTTCCATTCATCTACACAAAATTAGTATAACCCAAAATTTTAATTTTCTAAACTCCTATAATTAGGTATGGGCACGGGTCAGGTTTGGGCTAATCTGACCCGACCTGAAAATTTTATATCCTTCACCCGACCCGACCCGAAAAACATATATCATCCACCTGATTCGAATCCGACCCGATTTTTTGAGATAAAATCTGAAATCAATATGAAATAATAAAATATATTATTTTTTATTCAATAAAACAGTGATTTAATTGAAAAAAATAATATATGGAGGAGTATTATTGTAATTATTCCTAAATATATAGTGTAAAATTATTTTTAGGATCGGATCGGGTATTTTTCACCCTAAAACGACCCAACCCAAACATCACCTTTAAAAAATGATCCGACCCAACTAGTCGGGTCGAAATCCGTCGGGTTCGGGTCCTACGCCTATCCCTACGTATAATAATAATAATAATAATAGAAAAAATTACAATGTGTCAAATTATATTAAAATATAAAGAAACTGAAAAGTTTGAAACTTGTAGGATAAAAACCATGATTTGACCTTTTCTCGTCTTTCAAGTACCATTGGTTAGTTACAAATATATGTTTTTTTTTTCAATTACAAATATTAAGGTTTAATAATATTTTTGGTCTCTCATACTTTTCAAACAAATTATTTTAGCCCTTATCTGTTTTTTTTACTCTTGATTTTGTTTTTGTAATCAAATTTAACCAATCGACGAAAACCTAAGGGCCAAAACAGGAGAAAAATTTAAGGGTTAAAATTATTTCTTTAAAAAGTTTGAGAGTAAAAAAATGTCATAAGATGATTCTTAAAACCCTTAAGTTTTTGAAAAAATTAATTCAACTCTTTATTTTTATTATTATTATTATTTTGCCTAAATAAGCCCTTAAACCTAAAAATTGGTTAATATGAAGTTTTGACTTACGAAGATTGTTGCTGATTTTTAGGAACATGTGATGATTATATGATAGAAGAATTTAATTGATTCTTTTAAAAATTTTTGAAAATATTATTATTATTTAAATAAAATTATTTAAAATTAAGAGTCAATTGCATCTAAGGATGGGCATGGGTCGGGTCGGATTTTTGGTCCACCCGACCTGAACTCGACCTGTTTTGAGATAAAATCCGAACCTGATCTGAAATAATATATATATATTAAAAATATCATTTTCATTCAATAAAAATATGTATTTAATTGAAAGAAAACAATATATTGGTTGTATTATTTCAATTATCCTTATATATATAAGGTAAAATTATATTTTTTTAGGTCGGGTCAGGTTGGGTTAGAACCCTAGGTCGGAACCCATCGGGTTCGAGTCTCATGCCCATCCCTAATTGCATCATATATCCCCAAACTATAACCTTTATTTTAAATTAATCCTTAAACTTTTAAACATTCCAATTTCATCCTCAAACTATGATTCTCATTCTAAATTAGTCCTTAATCTTTTGAACATTCCAAATTCATCCCCAACTATAAATCTCATTTTAAATTGGTCCCTAAACTTTTAGATCTTCAAATTTCATCCCCGAATTCATGCAAATAAGTAATCCATTTCAACCATAGTTTAACCTAATCTTTTTCCCAAACATATAATAATATAACCCGACCTAATGATTTTATTAACAAGAGATGGTATATACATATAATTTAGGATAAAATTAAAATTGAAATATTCAAAAATTTTGGGACCAGTTTAGAATGAAGATCATAGTTTGGGGATGGAAATGAAATGTTTAGAAGTTTGAGGACTAATTTAGAATGATAGTCATAGTTTAAGGATGATATTGAAACATTTAAAAATCTAGGGACCAATTTGAAATTAGGGTCATAGATTAGGAATGTAAAATAATTTAACTCCAAAACTAAATATAAAAAACTATCAACATATTTTAAAAACAAATTAATATGAAAACTTCAAGAAACTTGCAAATTTTAAAAAATCGTAAAACGTCAACAACCAGAAATTATAGTTCACGGGGAGATGGGTTTTAAAATTTCAACCATAGAATTAATTACTATTAAGTTTCATAGAACTTAGAAGTGTGAACCTATAATAATAATAATAATAATAATTACACAGGTGTGAACATGGTATGAATTCCTGTGTGTAATTTTCCCATGTATTTATTCAAAGGTTTCATTAAGAACTATTTCCATGTAAAATATGTCATTTAGATATATTTTTTCCCCAAACCTCTCTCTAATATTTAATTGACAAAAGAAGGAACATGTTTTAGATGATGTGTGCAGCTACGTAGACATGGAATTCATGTGCATTGTGCATCAACCCCTTGCTTGCCTTTCGAGCATTGCTTCAACTAGAGATAGAAAAATAAATCCACGTCAGCTGCCCAAAATATTGTTTAAATCTTAATACATTATGTGCCCATTTTAGGATTTCATTTATTAATAGATAAATTAGTTTTAAAACATATTAATCAATCTCTCAAAGCTTAGTGTGTATATAAATATTAAAAATAATGGAAGTCAAGTCATCACATTAAAATAGTAAAAATGAATATATCTAATAAAGTTGTTAGATCATAGGCATACTCATTAATGTTAAAAGAAAGGAATATATTCTATCAATAATAATGGGTTTATTTAAAGAGATGTTATGTTTTTAAAATAATGTCGAAATTTTATATTTTAACGTTGGTAAATAAAATAAATTGAATTAACAGAATGATAGTTGTATATCGAATCTCTGGAGTATCTAATTTAAATTAATATTCAATAATAATAATTGAAAAAAGTATGTTTTAATAAATTATTTAGTCATCAAGTAGCAAATGAAGACAAAATATCGTTATATATTGGGGAAATGCTTCCAAGAAACGGAATATAAAACGATGCATGAAAACACAAGATGTTCCCTACTTGAGAAAATCCACCCAAAATATAATTAAAAATATATAAATATATAAAGTCGAGATGTGCATGTAATTGGAGGTAATGCCGTCAATGACACAAGTGAAAATGACTGACCCTAACGTAGGTCACAAGACCTCCAATTATTTATAATACTATTAATATATATATATATATATATATATATATATTATCAGCGATGAATAAATTTAACTACACAAAATATTAAAACTTTTAAATAAAAGAATTTAAATCATAAATTGAATAAATTAATTGAATGAACCATTCATACAATTTATCAATAATAATTGTTTTTTATTATTAATAAATATTTATATTTATATTTATCGACAAATTAATCAATATTTTTCACCCACGAATATGTATGATATAATAAAAATATATGATATAAATACGTAATCTGACCTAATTGAGATGATCAAATGATGGGGAAAATACAAGGAAATAAATTGGTATTTATTTCTCATTCAGAGATGCATAAATTACAAGGAAGATGGTAACTTATTTGAAAAAAAAGGATTGTTGTGCTCAATTGTGTGGTGGAGGAATGGGTACTGTTCTTTTTTTCTTTGGTTGTTCTTTCGGTTTTCAAGGTTTCGTCTTGATTAATTTGGATAGATCTAGGGTTTTGGTGGGTGAAAGTCTCCCAACGGTGATATTTTGCATACACAAAAACTCGAACTTGAGATCTACTTACCACTTGAACCCACTCCATTGGTGAGGCTGGGTGTTCACCATGCCTAACTCTTTCCCCTTCATTATTTCCACCTACTTAAAAAGTGTACCTATCATCACTTTGATTTTATTTCAGATTATGATGAGTTCATACAAGAAATAGTCTCCAATATCGAATATAAATATAATATATAAGACAGATTTAAAATGATATGGATTCAGTAGTTAGAACTTAAAATAATTTGAATTAAAAACGATATAAAATAAATTTAATCAGGAACCAACTCAGACTCTTTTAATTGAACGACCCATTACTAATTTATGTTAGACTTCTACCTTCAATAGTATGCGCTGAGAGCTTGGTAAGGTGGTACCATGCAATTAAAATATGGTGTAGTAGTAGTTCTATATTTGAATTGAATTGTGAATTTGTTGCAGCTTGGTTGAGTGGGAAAGGGAGATAATAATATAAAATCCGATTCCATGTTCAATTATTTGAAGCAAATAATATAGTTTAACCTAGTTTGGCTTGTAAATTCAAGTTCATACAAATTTTATTTTTGGATAAGTAATTTATATTCATCCAAAAGAATGCAGCTTAGCTACTACAAAACAAGGCAAGTTCCAGCGTTAGGTCAATCCCCAACTTATGCACAAATGCCTATTAGCATCATCAACCCTATGTATGCAATGATTATACAATTTGATTTTCACAGCCTCCTTTATACTATTTACAATAATATCAACTGAACGTGATAAACCCCTGAAGTTCCTATAATTACGTTCCTCCCAAATATAATACAGAAAGCCAGTCCAAGAGAGCTTGAGAATCCGCACACGGAGAGATTTTCCCTTTAAGTTCTCAATCAGCCAGTTGAGACGAACATCCCAGCTATACGAACCAATTCGAATCCCACAGGAAGATGGGACAACACTCCATACTTCCTTAGCAAAGGAATAATATGCAAAGAGATGGTCACGGGTCTCCAAACCAGTCCCACACACAACACAACCATTGTCCATGATCAAACCAAACCGAACCAACCTATCTTTAGTAGGCAACCTATCAAGGATGGCCATCCAAGAAATTAGGGAGAATTTTGGAATATGAACAGGAAACCAAATAATCTTGTGCTAGCTGACCTTCTCCTTTCGGACTATAATATTATCCCAAATCCATTTGCCTCTAACTAGGCTCCAATTAGCACAAGGAAGAAATAATCTCCTAGCCTCCTCTCTAAGCCTCAGCAGCTTTTTTAAAATCCAGCTGAAGTGGGCTTTACATTCAACCTCCCAGAAACTCACCGCATTGAAACAATACTCCTGAACCCATGCAATCCAAAGTGAACCTTCATTTTCCAATATATTTCTTATTAACAACAGGCATCAGGATTTACTCCATAAAGCAAGATCCCTCTAACAAGATAGTTTTAACTAACTGCAACCTACCCCCAAAACTTAATTTCTTGATGGACTATTACCTCAGTTTTCCTTTAATCCTCTCCAACAGAGCAGAACAATCCTTCCCTGTAAGTTTACGGGTTACTATGGGCACCCCAAGGTACCTAACAGGGAGGTGAGCCACCCTAAACCCAGTAGCTAACTGTATCAGATCAAGGGCATTCTCATTCAAGCCACATGCAAAAAACTCAGTCTTCAGAGCATTCAACTTTAGTCCTGACAGTTCATAGAATATCTATAAGGTACTTTGAACACCCAACATAGACTCAAGGGAGCCATGACATAAAACTAATAAATCATCTGCAAAGCAAAGATGAGTGAGGAAGATTCTTTTACATTTAGGGTGGAATCTGAAAATTCCCTGCTTGGCAGCAACATTCAGCAGAGAGGACAAGACATTTATCATAATGACAAAAAGATAAGGTGATAAAGGATCTCCTTGCCTAATTCCCATTGCCCCCTTAAAATACCCCGCCAAGCTACCATTCAAACAAGCAGAATACATGGGGGTAGTAATACAAGCCTTGATCCAGTTGCAGAAAACATCAGGAAGCCCCATTGCCCCAAGAACAATCAGCAAAAAGTCCCAGTTAATAGAATCAAAAGCCTTCTGCAAGTCTATTTTAACTGCACATCTAGGAGAAAGGCTCTTCCTAGAGTATCCTTTCACTACCTCCTGGGCTAGCAGAGTATAATCTACTATATTCCTACCCTTGACAAAAGCTGACTGATTATGAGAAATCATACCAGAGAAATAAGGAATAAGTCTATTAACAAGTACTCTAGTAATGGTTTTGTAGACCACTGAACAACAAGAAATAGGTCTAATTTCCTTAGCTAAGCTTGTATTAAGGGACTTAGGGACCAAAACCAAGGTTGTGGCATTGAAAACAGGCAAAAAGCAAGAAGTATGGAAGAAATACCTCACAGAAGAAATGAAATCATTACCAACAATGTCCCAGTCAGCTTTGAAGAAGCTAACAGTGTAACCATTGGGGCCTAGGCTCTTGTTCTTCCCTTGTCTAAAAAGGGCATCTTTGATCTCCATATCACTCACCTCCTTAGTATGAAAGGTATATGCACCTTCAGGCAAGGAGTAGCTCAGCAAGTCCTTCAAACTTTCAACTGAGCATCCTTTTACTAAAGGGTCAAGAGAGCCAATGAGGTTAGTGAAAAAATCCACTAGCTCAGCAGCCATTCCTTCAAAAGATTCATGGATCTGCCCATCATCACCTTTAATAACTTTCTTAAGAGTCCACTAATTCAGCATGAACCCTTCTCTCTTCATCAATCTTCATCTGATTTGTGTGAGCCAGGTTAAGTGTTTGGATTTGCTCCAATTCAGCCCTTTTATTTCTGACTCTACCAGAAATTTCAGATAAATACTCCTTGTTAAACTCCTTAAGCAGAGGTTTAAGTCTTCTTAACTTGTTAACAGACACTCATGGCAAATCCTCCACATTATTGCTGCCAAGAATCCCTAACGTAGAAAAAAAATTCATTGCCAATCCAACAATTAAAAAACTTGATAGTGATCAGAGACCCCCTGGGCCTTAAATTCCACAAAAGATTCTGGAAAATCCAACAACCATTGGTCATTAACTAAAATACTATCCAGCTTGCGGGCTAAATAAGATACTTCTTGTTTATTGGACCAAGTGAATAAAGGCCCAAGAAATGGATGATCCATAAGGTCAAGGCCCTCCAAACGTTCTTGAAAATCCTTCATATCAGAGGTGCAATGGACTCCCAAAACATCAAAGTCAGAGCTTTCCTCAGCTTTGGCAATGATGTTAAAATCCCCACCAATTAACCAAGATGAGGGACCAATATCCTTCTCAACAAAACTTAAATGATCCCAAAGACCCCTTCTAACCACACCATTGTTGCTGCCATAAACAAAATTAAAAGTTGTCCTATGCCCATCCTCAGTCCCAATGATAGAAATAGCTTGGTCACAACTCCTCAGGACAGAGATTGACAGATGTTTCCTCCAAAAAATCCACAGTATACCCCCTTCAACAAACTCATAATTCTTAGCAAAATTCCAATCATCAGACAGTGCAGCAGTGTATCTAGCAGAGTTATCTCTTTTAATACGAGATTCCATCAAACAGAAAACATCCACACCATAAGAATCTAATCTCCTAAGAACCTTCAGCTGTTTAATGGGATTGTTGACCCCCTAACATTCCAGAAACTGACAAGCATTAAGATGAAGGAAGTTGGGCACTACTGCCAGTGCTCAAGTTAACCACATTACACCTGGCTTTCTCAAGATACTCTTTCTTTTTAGACTTTATCTCATTGAGAAACATTTCCACGCCCATGGAAGCCACTTTGGCTTTCTTATGACCATCAACCACAATCTCTATTTTGCTAGAGGAGCCAACAATCTCTTTTTTCCTCCCCTTTGTCTTCTTCTTCAAAGAGTCTTGAAGGGAAGGAAAATCCCTAGGATGAACAGCTTCCTGAAAACAATTGGCATCAATACATGTGTCATAAGAGTCTGTCAGCTTCTTTACCATATCAGCAAAAAGAATCTGTGAAGGATTAACAATATTTTCCATGACATCATTCAAATTAGGCTCACTGGCCTCCTGCAAAGCCTGTATTGTTGTCTCCATAGTAGTGCTAACTTGTAATTCCATCACCAATCCCTTAGCATTATTACCACTACCAGAGAGAAAGTCTGAGCTCATCTCCTTGGAAGTGCTGGTAATTTCAGCTAGCCCCATAGCAACAGAGGCAATAACTGGCAGAGGTTCCTTACTTACAGATACTATAACATTACTCTCTTTTTTCCTCCAGACTTGCACCTATTTAAGTTTCTAGGGAGGGTGCCTAGCCTCAGAGCACGAGTTAACATGGTGCCCAAATGATTTGCACTTATCACAACATTTGGGAAGCCATGGCACATATACTCTAATAGCCACAGAGGACCCATCATTTAAAATAACATGAACAACATCTGAAATAAGAGCTCCAGCTTTAATTTCCACGCAAACCTTGGCAAATCTGAGCCTCTCATTTGAAGTCGTTATTGCGTCCATGTATAAAGGGTTTCCTAAGGCACTAGATATATAACTTAGACCCTTCTGAAAAATAAAGCTCTAATGGAACATTGTAAAGTTGTACCCATATCGACATAAAGGATAGGTCAAAGCTAAGCTTCTGCATACCAGACACCCAATTCCTTAAGACTAATGGCTTGTTCTGGACGTGCCAGGGTCCATTATTCATGACCCATTCCCTCAAACCAGCATCCAGAAATGAAAACACAAAGAGATTAGGGCCAGCAAGACTAACCTTAACTCACGAAGAATTTCCCTAAATTGTTTCAATGATTCACTGCATAGATCCAAAGCTCGGGGCCAAACCAATAAATTGACCCACTAGAGCATGATTCCAATCAACTATTCCTTCATCAATCACCTAAGGTGGGGGTTTAACAGTAGCCACTCCATCCCATAGCTCAGGGGGAAGAAGTCGAGAGACTGCTCATTCAAACCCACGAATAGCTTCTTCCAATCCAAACTCAAGGACCCCGATTCCATGCAATTAACAAGCAACAAACCTAGAATACCCCCAAATAGAAAGAACAAAAAGAATCAGAAGCAAGGAAGAAAATCTGAGAGACCATTAGACCTACTAACGTGCGGCAAGAGAGTCTTCATTTTCCTCGAAATCGAAAACCCGGGTAATATTTTCAATGTTATAATGTTTTTATGATCAAGTTCATACAATTTGTTTAATATATAGACTCATATATTGTTTCCTTTTCAATTGCGTACTAACTTCTTGGTTATCGGATGATTCACAATCATATAATTATAGCAGTCACCAAATACTTTCATTAATCCCAAATATCTTTCTTTCTTAATGATTGGATCCAAGCTTTGAGTTGATCTTATAAGTTTTTAAATTTTTTATTTCGGTTTTATGAAGAAAAAAAATGATTTCGAGTATTCGGTCATGGTGATATTTATTTATTTATTTATAGTTGAAAGTAGAAAATAATCGTCAATCAAACGATTTAACTTAATTTACTTTGATTCAAATAATTTTGATTTTATATTATTTGATCTCTCCCACTCCTTTCTGAAAATTAACCACTGCACGGACAAAGCTAAAGAGAAAAAATTCATCAGATAGATCTTGATCTGCATGTCAACAAAACCTTCCTCATCTAAGGAGGCTCCATACTCCTGCGGTCTGCTGCTACTTGGACCTCCACAAACCGAGGGCCCTCTTCGATCCAGATTTGCTCTTCTTCTCTTAGCTCTGTCACAGTCGCCATTAAATGAGTTGCTCTATTGGCCGATCTAGGTATTTGGAAAACTTCTACCTTTTTTTTATATCTTTAACCCAGGTGTTGATCTCTGAAAAATCTTTATCTTTGGAGGATAACTTGCTTATAACGGTCCTCGAATCGCCCTCCACTATGATTCTGTGAAAACCTATATCCTATGCGAAATCCACCGCTTGGTTCGCTGCTATCGCCTCTGCCATAAAACTCGTGGTAACGTTCTGATTTGTTCTTCGATAAGCCCCAATTATAAAGCCCCCTTTATATCTTATTAACACCCCTGACACTGATTCTTGTTTATGATGAGCAA